GAACCGGGAGAACCGGGAGAAACCCGGGAGAACCGGGAGAACCGGGAGAAACCCGGGAGAACCGGGAGAACCGGGAGAAACCCGGGAGAACCCGGAGAACCGGGAGAACCCGGAGAACCGGGAGAACCGGGAATGGCCTTTTCCCAACTTTCCCCACGTTATTCCCAGTTTTTCCCACTTTCCCTGTGACTTTTCCCAACTTTCCCCTTTGCCTTTTCCCACTTTTCCCGCGTTATTCCCGTTGTTTTTCCAGCTGCTGGGCTGCCAGCACATCCCGGAGGTGGCGGTGACGGCGTGCCCGTCATTCCCGTTGTCATTCCCGTTATTCCCATTCTCATTCCCGTCATTCCCGTTGTCATTCCCGTTATTTCCGTTGTCATTCCCATTGTTATTCCCTTTAATCCCGTTGTCATTCCCGTTGTCATTCCTGCTGTCATTTCCATTCTCATTCCTGTTATTCCCGTTGTCATTCCCGGTGTTATTCCCATTTTTCCAGCTGCAGGGCTGCCAGCACATCCCGGAGGTGGCGGTGACGGTGTGCCTGTCATTCCCGTTGTCATTCCCGTTATTCCCGTTGTCATTCCCGTCATTCCCGTCATTCCCGTTGTCATTCCCATTCACATTCCCGTTATTCCCGTTGTCATTCCCGTTATTCCCGTTGTCATTCCCGTTGTCATTCCTGTTATTCCCGTTGTCATTCCCGTTATTCCCGTTGTCATTCCCGGTTTTCCGGTTATTTTTCCAGCTGCAGGGCTGCCAGCACATCCCGGAGGTGGCGGTGACGGCGTGCCTGTCATTCCCGTTGTCATTCCCGTTATTCCCGTTGTCATTCCCGTTGTCATTCCCATTCTCATTCCCGTTGTCATTCCCGTTGATCCCATTGTCATTCCCATTGTCATTCCCGTTATTCCCATTCTCATTCCCATTATTCCCATTGTCATTCCCGTTATTCCCATTCTCATTCCCGTTATTCCCATTCTCATTCCCGGTTTTATTCCCGTTTTTCCAGCTGCTGGGCTGCCAGCACATCCCGGAGGTGGTGGTGACGGTGTGCCCGTCATTCCCATTCTCATTCCCGTTATTCCCGTTGTCATTCCCGTTGTCATTCCCATTCTCATTCCCGTTGTCATTCCCGTTGTTCCCATTGTCATTCCCATTGTCATTCCCGTTATTCCCATTCTCATTCCCATTATTCCCATTGTCATTCCCGTTGTCATTCCCATTCTCATTCCCGTCATTCCCATTCTCATTCCCGTCATTCCCATTGTCATTCCCGTTGTCATTCCCATCATTCCCGTTGTCATTCCCGTTATTTCCGTTGTCATTCCCATTGTTATTCCCTTTAATCCCGTTGTCATTCCCGTCATTCCCATTCTCATTCCCGTTGTCATTCCCGTTGTCATTCCCGTTGTCATTCCCATTATTCCCATTCTCATTCCCGTTGTCATTCCCGGTTTTCCCATTATTTTTCCAGCTGCTGGGCTGCCAGCACATCCCGGAGGTGGCGGTGACGGCGTGCCCGTTGTTCCCGTTGTCATTCCCGTTATTCCCGTTGTTCCCGTTGTCATTCCCATTGTCATTCCCGTTATTCCCATTCTCATTCCCGTTATTCCCGGTGTTATTCCCGGTTTTCCGGTTATTTTTCCAGCTGCAGGGCTGCCAGCACATCCCGGAGGTGGCGGTGACGGCGTGCCCGTCATTCCCGTTGTCATTCCCGTTGTTCCCATTGTCATTCCCATTCTCATTCCCGTTATTCCCATTCTCATTCCCGTTATTCCCGTTGTCATTCCCGGTTTTCCGGTTATTTTTCCAGCTGCTGGGCTGCCAGCACATCCCAGAGGTGGCGGTGACGGCGTGCCCGTCATTCCCATTGTCATTCCCGTTGTCATTCCCATTGTTCCCATTCTCATTCCCGTCATCCCCATTCTCATTCCCGTTATTCCCGTTGTCATTCCCGGTTTTATTCCCGTTTTTCCAGCTGCAGGGCTGCCAGCACATCCCGGAGGTGGCGGTGACGGTGTGCCCGTCATTCCCGTCATTCCCGTTGTCATTCCCATTATTCCCATTCTCATTCCCGGTTTTATTCCCGTTATTTTTCCAGCTGCTGGGCTGCCAGCACATCCCGGAGGTGGCGGTGACGGCGTGCCTGGTGTGGAAGGATTGGCCGCACCGCGTGCACCCGC